CATTATATTTATAGTGGTAAAATTGAAATTGATAATAATAATGTTCAAGATATTTTAATAGCTAGTGATATGTTACAACTTAATGAAGTTGTTCAATTTTGTTGTCATTATTTATCAATAAGTTTAAATGAAAATAATGTTATTGATACATGGAAAATAGCTAATGAATTAGAATGTTTATCATTAAAAGATAATGCTGAACATTATATATTAACACATTTTTGTAATTTAATTAAATTTGAAATGATTAAATTTATTCCACATAATTTATTAATAAAAATTATATCAAATGATGATTTAATTATTGATAATGAAGAACAAGTTCTTGAAGCTATATTAATATGGTATTTTAATAATCATGAACAATCATGTGAAAATTTATTAGATAATGTTAGATTTGAATATATTTCTAAAGAACATCAAAAAATGATTTTAGATCAAATTGGATTTGTATGTATTAATAAGTTTTGAAATTATTTTAAAAAATAATGGATAATGTAAAAGTTTTGCATCTATTTTGTTTTCAGTATAGTATCATAACAATTCATCATGGAGACTTGATTTAGAAAACTATCAAAGTTTCAACTATAAAGCTGAACAAAAAAAGAATATTTTCTTCCAAATACTTACTAAAGACTAAACAGGTCTCAACACATTTCTAGAATTTAGAGGAAAGTTTCCATTCACTAGGAAAGTTAATGCTATTAGATTTTATAGCGCTAATAATAAAATTTTTAAGTTATCGATTGAATTCGATATTGACATTTTTCTAACACTCTTTGCTAGCAAAAAGAAAGTGCTCACAACTAATAAATAATTTCAAAAAATAAGATTTTTTCCAGAAATCGAAATTAGTAAAAACATATATTTTATATCCAATTACAGTCAAGTGAGATCTCTACAAAAGTACATTAGATAAAATTAGAGATCGACTAGATATCAATTCAACCTTCAGATCAAATAAGCGAAAGAAATGTTCTGACAGTTCAATTCTTGAACCCGCGTTACCGACGAAAAATATTTTCTGATAAAACCACGAAAGTCAGGTCGTTTTGTGCGTCTATACACATTGATGAGAATAGAGACAACCGTCTTCCAATGTAAGATTTTTCCAATTTGAACCGCGGTTCATTAAAGTCGCAGTCTTCTTCGAAAAATTTTGTTGTTTTGGGAATGATTTTTTCAATAATGGAAGAAAGACTTCTTATATTCGGAAGTGTAATTCCCAAAAATAGAACAAAAATTGTTCGGATAGATCAATTTCAGGAAATGAATTGTTAAAAATGATTAGTTCAGAATATAGTTTTTCTCCATTAGGCATTATGAGAAAAATTTCATTGGACATTGTAGAAGGAAAATCAAGTTTTTAATCAAAATGTTTCTGATAGAACTTATGGTTTTGTAACTCAGATAACTTGATATGACTAGAAAGTCCACTTTGCGTTGATTACATTCATACATAACATGCCTAAGCTGAATGTAAGACAAATCGATCAAATGCATTTCTCATCAATGATTGATTTTTTTTTGAAGTTGCAAGGTACTTTTCAGTTTTTGATAAGTATTCTGAACGAAATTTTTTTGCATAATTTTACAGTAGAGACTTTGCTCTTTCTAACAAGAAAACTGTTAAGTCTCTACGGAGAGTTGTTGTAATACAACATTGAAAATAACACGAATGCAAAACTTTTGCACCATTTATTTCATAGTATATAATAGAGAAAAAACGTTGTTTTTTTTTTGTAATCATTTTTCTGAATTGAAGTAGTTTTCTACAGAATGTCCCAAATATTTGCCATGATAGAAGATTTCAAACACATCTACTGAAAAGAGACTGATCTATTACAGTATTAGTTTGATAAAAAATGTTGAAGTATCTCTTTAATGCAATCTTCATATGGTGTTTATTTCTGAAATTTGTCTTGCAATTTTCGTTTCACATTTTATTGATAATTCAATATCGATCATCAATACAAATTATTTCTTCTGTAATAGTTATGAGTGCAGAAATTGTAAGGAATCTAAAATCAATTTATAGAAAAATTGTGTAAATTGTTTGAATTGTATAAGAACTGTTCACTTTTTTAAGATCATGGTAGACTTTTGAGATAATCGGTATTAAGGTCCGTCGGATTCGAACCGTACTCTTAATTTCAATTAAATATTTTTAATCTCAGGCCTTCAAATCATTGAGAAGATACAAGATACAAGATACTTTTCATCGATTATTTCTATTCTGCTACTAATATATCCTACACATTTTCTCAGATAATATTGACAATGATCTGATAATAATCAAACCATTATTGATTGTTGCTTTTAGAGTATCACACGTTGGATAGATCCCGAGCCTAGACAACTCAATGAGTTCTATCCGATATATCCTATTTAGTAATGGTTTAATTTCAAGACAGTAACTCAAAAAAAAAAAAAGAACAAATGTGTATTAAAGTATTCATTAACTAGAGAAAAAATATATTGTTGAATGATTACTTCAAAGTAGATGCCCATTCCTCAGAATTCAGAATGTATAACAGCCTTACACATTAACGATAATGTATGAAAATTAGAGATGTATAAGATAAGCTTTTTTTTCATATCTTATAGAATTTTTCTTCATCATAACATTAATTTCCACAGCTCTAATGAATACTGTGGTTTATTGAGAAAATGCTAGAAAATGCAGTTCTTATTCCTTGAGATTAGAACATTCGGAAACGAGAACTTTGACATGCTTACTTCAAAATATCTTTTTGAGTTCATTTTATGAAATACGATCTCCAAAGAGTATTGAAGTACAGAGAATAGAAATTTGCTTTCTGACAGACACAACCGATAAACCATGACAGATGTTTTTGATATACAATTACAGACTGAAATAGATGTTATTGTTATGCAATCAAAAATTGTATAAACATAACATCTTGTTATAATATATGAACTATTTTCTTATTGCATATCTCGAGGATAAATTAAAACAATGTTGAAGAAATATATATCTCCCACAATCAATAGAATAAAACGATCTCCTGATGAGATTAGCGACGGCAGCAGCAGTAGAGTTACATCGTGTTTCACATTTTAATTTTACAAGAATTGAGTTAACGACTTCTTTTTTTTTTTTCGTTGGAGTACTATCTTTATGAAATATTTATTATTCTTTAGAAAAATCCATCAATAATTCATCGTATTGAACAAATAATATCCCATCGTGAATGTCGAATAAATAATAATCCAGCACGACGTGGTATGAAACAAACATGTTATTTATTTGGTGGTTATGGTTCAAATATAAATGATACAAATTCTCATTTATTAACATTATCATATCGTTGTCATTTAAATATAAATGATTCATCATCATTATATTTAATTGAAATTGAACAAATTTCGGGTAATGAAATGCGTTATCCACGTATACATCATCAAATAGCAACACTTGGTAGTTTAATTTATATTGTTGGTGGTGAAGATGGTGTTAATATATTTAATTCTGTTGAAATATTTGATCCATTAACAAAACTAACTAATCAACAATGGATACAAGGAAATTCTATGATTAAACCAAGATGTAATTTTGGTTTAATATCATTAGATTCAACAACATTATATGCATTAGGTGGTCATATTGGTGCTGATATAACATCAACAATTGAAATGTTTAATTGTCAAACAGGACAATGGACATTATTACCATATAAATTAAAATCTCCATTATATGGTTTTGCTTGTGTACAATTAAATGGTTTAATATTATGTATAGGTGGTTCATGTATATTTAATTTACCAGTTAAAACAACAGAAATATTTAATCCACGAACAGGACAAAGTTATTTATGTACTGATATGAATGAAGCTCGAACATTTTGTTCTGTATGTATTGATGATGAACAAGAAAAAATTTATGTTTTTGGTGGTGCTGATGCAAATGGAAATGGTTTATGTTCTGTTGAAGTTTATAATACATTAGATTGTCGATGGTATAAATTACCATCAATGTTTTTTAATCGTATAAGTCCATGTGTATATCGTATGGGATATTTTATTATTGTTTTTGGTGGTCGAACAAATTTAGGACAAAATTCTGAAACACTTAATACATCAGAAATATATCATATTGAAAAAAAAACATGGATAAGAACGAATGATCTACCAATACATATATATGGTGCAGCAACTATCCTTCGATGAATTTTGTTTTTTAGTTGTTTTCTTTTTTTTTTTTTTAATGTATAATGTTATCTATCATAAGAAAAAAAAATTCTATATTTTTGTTGTTTCTATTAAAACAATATGATTGTTATCATGATATTGAAAGAATATTTTCTTGGATTTCTATAAAAGATATATGTCCTTGTGTTTTGCACAATTTGACAGACTGCTTTTGGTGTGTGTGTGTTTATTGATATTATGAAGAAAACGAATTATGAGAAAGAAAAAAAAAGAGAAGATGGATATAGGACAAAAGTCGTGTATGTCCCATACATGTTCTCTGGAATACCACTACTAGAAGAAAAGGATCGATCATTCGATAGAAAATTTTTCTGTTTATTAGGATGACGATGTCATCGTCAGACGAAAGGAAAGAATGGAAGAAAAAAAAGAAGAAGCAGAAGAAGAATAAGTAGAAGAATCTCATTTTTCTATTTGACTTTGCACAGTGTAGGAAGAAAACATCTATCTCATGTATTGTCATGGCAAATGGTTATTTTGTTGCTGACATGTTGTCGATGTTGTACCTTATACCCATACATTGATAAAAAATAACAAGCAATGTGACCGTATGTCGCGTTATACTACTTATCCATATAAACAATAATCTACAAAATTTTTCTTCAAGTATATATTTGTCATTTTTTTTTTAATGTTGATTTCTTTTGCATGAATTTTCAATAATTTATTTCTAAATGAAATCAATCTTTCTTGATAAATTGTCTAGATTTCAACGATAAGAAAATATTATTTAAATTATTTCTCATATCGAATTTAATAAATTCGATATGATGAGTGAACAACAAGTACAATCAATTGAAAATTTTCAAATCAATGGTAATATAGATCATCATACAAATAAAATTAATAATGAAATACAAACAACTTCAACTCATTCAACATTACGTCATACACGTTTTTTTCGTACAAAACGACAACAACGTTTAGATGAAAATCAAACGCCTACTAACGGTATATAATAAATTATCGAAAATTTTTGATATCTAAATATTAGCCTAATATTTAGGACAAACCAAAATAGAAATCTCCACATGTACTATAACAAAAACTATTGAAAAAATTAAAACAAGATCTTCATCACCACCTCCTCCTTCTCCATCAATAATTGTCAATGAATCTGATGATAGTGATGAAAGTGATTCTTCAATAGAATTTAATAATATACCACAAATTGTTATAACTGAAGCAAGACAATCTATAACAACTATTAATAGTGGTTTTCAATTAAAAAAATCTAATTCAGTTAAATTAACACGTGTCAGTGAAAATAATTCATGTCAAAAAAAAGCTGTTCGTTTTGCTGATGATTTTGGTTTAGATTTAAGTCAAATTAAAATGATTCAAACAGATGAATTACCTTCTATACCTAATACAGCATTTAAACATTTATGTATTAGTAATGAACAATATTGTTCAACAACATTAAATTATGAACGTGAAAAATTAATTACTTATATGGAACAACAATTTGAAAATCCTATCTATACACAAAATTTTAATGATTGTGTATCACGAAATAAAGTTCTTCTTGAACAAGCTAGTAAGTCGTCTATTCAAAATAATATTAATTGAAAAAAAAAACAATTTTTCTTTTTTATATGATTATATTTTAAGATGCTATTGATAATCGAATTTATGGTACAGTTAAAGTAGTTTCATTGAGTTTACAAAAACAAGTTAAAATACGTTTAACAACTGATAATTGGATATCATTTAAAGATTATGATGCAATATATATATCTAATTCATATGATGGTATTTATGATCGATTTTCATTTATGATTGAAATTGATCGTTCTAGAATATGTGCTGGAAATAATATACAATTTTGTATTTGCTACGAATCATTTGTTAGTCCAGATTGTTGGGATAATAATTATGATCGAAATTATCGATTTGATTGTTTGTCACGAACAATACCAGATTATAGTGTTTAGATAGACAAAATATGTTTTACTATAAATACAATTGATACATAAAATTTTCTCGATAGATTTTTTTTTTTGTCAATTTTTCTGTTCGATCTATCATCTTTTCATTAGTTTTACCATATGTATATGTTTATTTCTGCTTGATATACTTAGAATGTTTGATTTAATTTTCTTTTTTTTTTTTTTTATTTATTTATTTTGTTTTGTATATTAAATATACAACAAAAAAAACCAAAACCTAAGTAGACAAGAAAATTTATTTTGACTGTTGAATACGTTCGATTAATGTATCGCATAGAATTTGATTACGATGTTTATGTTTAACATTACGAATTTCATTAATAAATGTTTCAGATGCATTTTCAAGTTGAGTTGCAAATTGAACAATTGTATCTAAAAAAAATAAAAATATTCGAAGAAGAATTTTTTATATAAAACAAAACAAAAATTGCTTTTTTTTCTTTCTAGATTTTTACCAAAAACAGTATTTTGAATTTGACTATTTTGATCATCCAAATGTATTAATAAAATTTTTGCAATATCTTCAAGATGTGATCGATAAAGTTCAATAGAAAAATTTCCATGAAATGCTTGTACATATGCATTTAAAGTTGAACATATTATAAGACGAATATCATCAGATATATCATCTAAACGTTTTAATAAATCTGGATAGATTTTATGTAATTGATCATTATCAATTGTACGAATAGCATCATCATTTGAAAAAAGTGCTTGTAAAACATAACAACTATTCATTCGTGTTAAACGATCATCATCATCTAACATTCCTAATACAGCAAGAAGAATTTCTTTCATTGATGATGTACACTAAACATAAAAAAGAAATATAAAATAAATTAATATTAGAATGCTGTAAATTTTCTAATTTATTTCTTTTAAATTTAGAATATTAATATAATTAGATTTCAATTGTCTAACGTAGGGTGTTATCTTTTCATCATAATAGAAGGTTATCTAGTTGCGTAAGTTATTAAATGTATTTAGACATGTAAATATATAATATTACAGTATATATTTCCAACATGTGCGAGACACTTTTAACCTTGTACATAAACACTATTCGACCATGTATATGTCATAGACGACATGAGAATCCAATTGACTTTGGAATGTGCAAAGTTAATATTAAAAAATTCTCGTAGAAAAATTTTAAATAGAAATCAAGCTTTATAAACAAAATAAATTAACCCTTTACCCCCCACGGCAGTTTCAGAAGAGCCACTGATGAAATAACTTTATAAATAGAGTATTAGCCTGTCGAATATACCAATGATGTGGCCTAATCCTCCGAATGTCCTATTCCTGGAGTAGGGCAGTTTGATTGATGTAAAAATCATGCGGTGGAAAATGGAAATTGAACGACATCATAAGGCTTAATTTTTTTTCTTTGACCACTTTATTGACTGGACAGAAGCAGCATCTATCTCGTACTGTTGAAGTGATAGGAAAAACGCAAAGAGCGAACCGATAAAAATTAACATCAAAGAATACATATTTTTTTTCACCTATTGTCAAATTTGAGCCTATTTTACTTTGAGCCTTCTTGTAACGTCTGAAGGAATTTAATTCATCATAAATACTATTTCGACTTCTCATGAGTTCAGGTCTATAACGCACATATTAACTTTGTTCTTGATTAGCCTCCATGCGTCTAACAGTGACAACATGGTCAATTGTGTCCCGTAGGATGCATAATTCGCGGAGTTAGCATGAAACTTTCGAAACACATCTAATTCAGCAGTGAACTTCTTCATCGATTAATATCACACAGAAATTCCAAAAGACCTCTATCGATTGCAAGTAGAGAATATTTTTTTTATAAAATTTCGAATTTTTGCATTTTTTTCAAAATTGTAGATTTTGTAAGTCATGTATCTCGAAGGCAAAGCAATGAAACAAAATATTTTTTTTACTAATCGATAGCTTGTGAAGTTTCCTACAAATAATGTCTTGGGAGTTTTTCACTATCATACTTTCTTTATTTTCTGTGATCGTGTCTACAAATGGGTCATATATGACCCATTGGGGGGTTAAGGGTTAATTGATTTAGACAAGAGTTTACAAAATAAAGTATGTGGATATTATGTTTCATGATAACATGATTATCTATTTTGAAGATCTGATGATTATTTTATTAGTTTCTAGTTTGCGCCTATCTATATCGCACTATCACCGATATACTGTAACGATAAGCACGAGAGTATTGAACATACGAAAAAAATGAAGGTAAATGTGATATATATATATGCGTGTGAGTGTTAGTCTTCTTTTCATTTCCATTCACACTCACATCCCTAAATCTTCGCTTTTTTTTTTGTGCGTGCTAAATATTCTCGTGCTTATTGTTTCCGTACTCATCGTTTACCGATCTCCGGCAGATGTTAGTCTTCTATCCATATTCATATCTAAATTCGTAATTATTTACAATTAAATATGACTATTATCTTTCATCTTATCTATCTAAAATTTACTATTGCGTTTTACAAAATCCGATTTATAAAATTATAGGGTATTTTGAAGAAACAAAAGAAAAAATATTCTATACTCTCACTTGTTCAAAACTAAATGATTTAGCTTGAAATAATGACCAAAGTGTAGCAATAGCTGTTGCTCGAATAGCAGCTGCTATTCGACCTGCTTTCCATTGCATATTTGGTAATATACATTCATCAATTAATATTGTTAAATATGGACTAATTATAACTGTTGTATCTGTATCATCAATAAATTGAAGTAAATTTGCTATGATTAATAAACATTGATTTCGTACTTCTGGATCACGATCAGGTTTCATGACTATACGTAGAATTTCGATAATATCTTTAAGAAAAAATCGATTTGATGATCCTGAAAATAAAAAAAAAACAATCATTTTAAGTTTTCGTTTTTAATGATTAAAGTAAAGGCAAAAAGAAACGTTCTTATTTTTTCCTTAACTGTAACACACAGAATAAATCGAAGAGAAGATTCGATTAGTTAAAATAATTTCCGATCAGAAGAGATACTTGTCGAATTAACATTAACAGATTTGAGTGAAAAAAAACATTTTAATGTCCGCAAGCTCTCCATGATCCATCTTCAGCGAACGACAATCATTGTGCAATAGTCTTAAAAAGTTGTTTTACACACTTTGAAGCCTTTCGTAGAATTAAGTTTCCAGAGATCTTTTCACTCAAACCTATCAATAATAATTCGACAAGTATCTCTTCAGATAGAAAACTGTTCTAACTAATCAGACGCTTCCTCTAATTTGTTATAGTTGTTACCATTACGGAAAAAGAGTCGAAAATATTTCGTTTTTTTTTTTCTCTTCATATATCTTACCTGCTTGCATAATAAATGTTTCAAATATAAAACGATCTCGTGTACTTCTTAACCAATCATTCGATGTTTGTTTAAGATCATCAAATAATTGTGAAGCAAATTTTTCATACATTTCATTTAATGAACTATTTTCAAATGTATTTAATGCTAAATCATTCAATGTTTGTTTACACTAGACATCAAAAAAAAAAATTAAAATAAGAAAAAAAAAAAGATGATTATTTTATACTTGTTGTTTTAATTCATCATTTTCAGCTATGGATAAAAGACTTAAAATACATTTAAATATTCGATATGCATAAGGTTCTAATTGTTGTTGACATTTTTCAATTAAAAGTCGACAAATACGTAAAAGTTCATTTTGTATTGGTAACTTAAAAAAAGAAAAAAAAATGAAATTTATTTGAAGAATTTAATATTTTGAAAAAATAATTATTTACTTGAAAATTATCAGTATATTCTGATTTAAGAATAATTGTAAGTAATTGATCAAAAATTTTTTCTGATTGTATTAATTCATCACAAGTAATACCTGTTAAAAGTGGTGCAATTAAACGAAGTAAACCTAAATTTGATGTTTGTTCAAAATGTAATCGAATTAAATTAAACCAAATATTAATTGATACAAAATAACCAATATAAATTAATGTTTTATTAATCTATTTTTATTAAGAAAAATAATATTATTTATTTAAATGAATGAAAAATTTTCTTATATTTTACTTGTTCACGAACAATTAATTCATCATCAACAAGACCTTTTGAACAAACTTGAAGTGTATCTTCTAAATGTTGAGTTATAGTTTCTTCAGCTTGCCAAGTTAGAATAGTAAGTAATTGAGAAGCTTTTATACGTCCTGATACAACCCAATCCGTTAAATCATTACGAAGCGCAGGAAGAATTCGTATTAAATTTCTTTTAACTAATTCACGACAACCAACATTTGGTCGTGTTACTAAAAAAACAAAATGAAATAAGATTTTTTTTTTGATGATTATTATCAAACTGTACACGGATGGACACAGAGATTTATCATTTAAACGCTTCTTAGAAGTTTCTAGGTATTCTATAGAAAGCCGGAGTTTCAGACCGAGTCGAGGTCGAGTTTACATCATTATTCTTCATAAATAAGCCTTATTTCTATGAATAGTTGGTACTAAAGCCTATCGGACTGGTTCAAAAAGTATTTTGTATCTTCGAAGCGACTATCCATTTTCGATTACAAAAATTTCATTGAGAATATCAAAGTACGGTTTGATTGAGTTCGAGTTCGAAAGTTTTGGACCTGACAGGCTCTAGTTAGTGCAGTACTCAGCAAATTACATTTCGAGAAACGGTATTGTATGTCAGTAATCGAAAAGTACTATATGAATTTTGTAGCTGAAACCGGTAGTAGCTTAATAAATGATTATATTATCGAACAAACTACATGGAAATCCACAGTATTAAAGGAGAGCTAGTGTGAGCGTGTACTTGTACTTGATGGACTACGGCATTTTGCTGAACACTATGGAGCGTGCCATCTATTTATAAGAATAAAGCTTTTTTTTTATAGGGATTAGTGAGATAAATTCAGATTCGGTACAGTCTGAAATTTATATAACTCTATTCGATATCAATATATCTGATTTATTTTTGAATAATGACATGATCAAAT